GGGGTATTTAATGAATTAATGGCCGGTTTTGGTATGAAAAATATCAGGTCTAAGTTTTTTCAGGTGCCGATGGTTTAGAGTGTATTGAAGTCTATGACACTCAAAATACAGAATTTTTCAAGGATGCTCTGGGGCTTATTTTTCTATTTCAGTGGGGAAATGATCAGAAGAAGGAATCAAAACCTCTTGATTTTGTTGACGATAACTCAATATTTTTTGCAAAGCAGGTTATCAATAACGCCTGTGCTACTCAAGCCCTTATAAACGTTCTTTTCAACGTATCTTCCCCGAATCTAAAGCTTGGGACCACGTTAACAGATTTCAAGTCGTTTGTTGCAGATTTTGATAGTCATGTAAGAGCATTGTATTATAATTATTCCAATTGTAGATGAAAGGCACTGCGTTATCGGATTGTGAGAAATTGCGTCTCACGCATAACAGTTTCGCTCGGTATGGCATTATTTAATTGTCCTATGATGTTTCTTGAATAGGCCCCAGGTTTTTGAGGTCGACCAAAGTAACCAGGTCAGACCTGAGGATGTTTATCATTTTGTTGGATTTGTTCCTATTAACGGTGCAGTGTATGAACTTGATGGGCTAAAACCGAGTCCTGTCCGTGTAGCAACAATTAATGAGGGCTCCTCCTGGTTGGATGTTGCATTGCCTGTCATAAACACACGAATGAGTGAATGCTTGGACGGAAAATTTAATCTTATGGCTCTTGTTCCAAGTCGTTTGCAGATGTACCAAAAACTTGCCCTCAAATATGTTGCGAATCCTCCCGTGAGTCACTTCTATTTCTTTTTTTGCCATATTTTACTTTGTATGAGGCTCGTTTTAGGTTGATAAGAGTCTTATTTCCCAAAATGACTGCAATATCTACGCCGAAAAGGCTAAGTTAGCAGAACAACGAAGTGAGAATAATCGTCGAAGGCACAATTACCTTCCTTTTATCATTGAATACTTCAAAGTCCTTGCTGAGAATAATCTTCTTATTCAGTCAGCGCAGACTGCGAAGAGCAAGTCAAAGACCCAACAATCTCGAGCTGCTGCTGCTGCTGCCAGGTCCTAATACTCTGATTTATTAAGATAAGGGAAAAAAATTCTATCACCATCCAAACAGTGACGGCACGAACTCATATTTCCGCGAAAAAATTATTTGGGCAATTTCCTCCTTCCTCATATCCATTGTGACCTGTTCTCCTGTTGTTCTAAAGCCAGTTGCCAGCGCATCCGGGTCCGCTCCTTAACACAACGAGGTGTCTTAGTGCTGCAGAAGGGTTTTCATGAATGATAGACGTCATAAGTAGAGTGAAGCCATGGTGGATTGTATCGCTAACCGACACATTGTGAGAAAGAAGATATGAGACCATGTAATCATTTCTTCCAATTATGGCAGATTCCAAAGGCGATAACCGATTCTTAAGCAAACGATTTATTGAAGCACAGTTATCAATTAAGAATTTTGCTGACTCGTAGTGGCCATTATAGATTGCCAAGCAGAATGCAGTATTCTTGAGCAATTTCTTCATTTCTCTATCTGCCACTTTAATATTCACCAAGAATTTAAGTATATCGAAACGGTTCTAAAATCATAACCTAGATTGATGGGCTTACATAGAGGGCAGCATAAGCAAGAAGTGGGACTTCAGGAAACTCCACATAATTATAAACCACTGATCCATGTGCAACCAAAAAGCGAACCATGTGGATGTTATTTTTCTCCACAGCCAACGTAAGAGGAGTTATACCATCGTTGTCATATTTTTCTAATTGCAATTACGCGAAAGAAGAATAGAGATGGAAGCCTCATCATTATTGTCCACTGCAACTTGCAACGCAGTCCATCCAAATTCATCAACCCCATTCACAGCAGCTCCATTCATCAATAATGCATTTGCGATGTCATGGAACTTTAGCCTCACAGCTAAAATGAGTGGTGTAATTGTCGGGTTATTTGGGAAGACATTTGGATTGACCTAGAAGAATACCAATGTTGTTTGACTTACATTGTTTGTCAGTTGAATTATCACAGATTCAATGTAATTTCGAGTGATAGCTTCATAAAGTGTTCGCTGAATCTCGGACATAGTGTGAGAAGCAAAGAAAATACTTGCCACTCAAATATGATCAAATTCATATCGATACTTTGATAAAATACTTTAATCATTAATCAGCAGAGTGACGTCAACGTTTGGACAAATCTATTAATTTGGTTATAAGTAACCAATAGATATTTGTGTGTTTGATGTAATATTGGTCAATTCCTTGTCCCAATGAGGCGTGAAATCGGACGAATGAATTTCGGACAAGTGTGGATAATTTGACTGAATACATCTCGAGCAGAATTTAATAAAGCTCCTCAAGTAGAGCTTGCATCGGAAAAATCGAATTTCATTTGACTATGGTTTGGTAATTGAACGAGTTCAGTGTTCAGGGAATTGTGTATTTTTGTTGACAAACCTCCTATTAACCATGAATTTAAAACGACAACTGTCAAAGCCGTCTCAAATCTTCTTCCATTGCAACCCGAATTCAGAATATGATATTCACAACGTATTATCAATACGTCTTCCAACACCTCTCTCATATCTATTTAGTATATAATTTTCCTATCTCTTATGAAATTCACAGGAAAAGAAGAAGAAGGTTTCTATGGACTTTACTTATTTGATAGTGATTCTTTCGCTACTGCTCCCAAGATAGTTGGCACAGAGAGATCTCAAACGAATGTCGAATCGAGTTTTCACCATTTGAATGCATCGATCTGCATTTTTTTCGCATTCTGCTAGAGTGGGAGGTGAATCGATCTGTTGATGCACTTTATCGAATTCTCAAACATTTTCAAGCATTCCCCTCACATCACCAACCTTATCATCATCATCATCATCGTCATCATCAACTTCATCTACTCTTTCATCACAATATTTCTAGGAACAAACTAAGCAACGGGGGGATGATGCACAAAGCATAGCTCACCACCACTCACTACTGAACCACTACCCACACGTCATCAGTTAATTGGGAAAGATGGGCGATCGTTGCTATTTCAATCAGTTCAGACTCACAGGTGGAACTTGCTTGAGGCTAGTATTAGGCCATCTAGTAGAAGTAGTTGTAGTTGGCAGTTAATGACGACGCAACTCGAGTGTCAACGCATGAAAAGAAGACAGAAGGTTGAAATAGTGAACTTTAGTGGTGGCCAATCCTCTTATTTTATGCCCAAAAATAAGCGTTTTGGAGTCATCAATTGATTTGCGCTCTAACCGAATTTGTTTTGAGATATTAGTCATTTATTGTTTGGGTAGTATACTAATATTTTTTGGCCGACATTGCTCAAATCGATTTGACCGTAACACAATAGCTGCACCAAGTT